TTCTGGGAGTTGAAGTCCACAGGTCGTAAAGAGGCCATCTTTGCCCACTCCTGACTTAAACCCTGGAGCGGAGCTGCATAATGAGTGGGTGGGGCTTCAGCTCTAAACAGGAGGGTTGGGGCCAAAAGGAGGCGGGGCAAGTCTTACATCCTCCAATCAAACCGAATCTGTTAGGATCAAATAATTCAAGGAAGATCTGGGATCCCCCAATTCTCCCCCCCCCCCCCCCCCGATTAAAAATATATCCATCTCTGATTCTTACCTGTGGTGAAGATGTTGGACTGTCACCAAGGAGAGCATGTTTTTTGAATCACACAAGCCCCCTGGGTGACTATGAGCCAGGTGCTCTCTCGTCTCATCCTACCTCACAGGGCTGTTGTGAAGATAAACGGCAGGAAGGAGCTCTTCGAAGCTCCTGAACTAAAGGCAGTGCAAAAATCATAAAACGTGAATCAATATAGGTGAGGCTGCCCAGGCCCTTGGTTCACCTGCCGGTATCTCCATGCTGCTTGGAAGTGTGTGGTGTTGGAATTGGACAACGTCTGTGGAGCCTCCGCGCCCCCCTCCCTACCCCCACAGTTGTGTGAAAGCAACCACTCCCAATCTCAACCTCCACCCCCCCCTGTTGGTTGGCACCGTGCATAAATGCAAAACAAATGGCTAAACAGGCTCTCGTTTCTTGCTGTCTCTTCAGTTTGGAAGGACCCCCAGCGTACAAGCCGCCACCTCCTTGCCAACTGTCAGAAGAAACGGAGCCGGTAAGTATCAACCCTGCTCCCAGCATGGTTTGCAGGCACCTGCTTTTGGAATTACGAGAGTTGGAAGGGACCTTGGAGGTCTTCTAGTCCAACCCCCTGCTCAGGCAGGAGACCCTGTACCTGTGATGACCCAGGGTGGGATACAAAATATGCACAGTCACAAAAACAGGTGAAGCCCCTTTTATTCCTTCACTTTGCTTCCAAGCTCCAAATATCCTTGACCGGAGTAAAAAAAAGACTCCCCCATAAGCAGTTACGAAATGCCGTTTAAACTAAAAATGCCTATAAATTATAAAGAGTAAAAACAACACAAACCACACTGAAGCAATTAAGGGAACCAGGCAAGATGAGGGCTTGAAGACGTCCACAGATATCGGAACACACACTGGGAAGGACGCCAAACTCAGAGAGGAATGACAGACTAGAGATATTTCCACGCTTTGTTTCCAGCATTAGCTCATATGCATGTCCGTCCTTTTAACCAGTTGTCACAGCTGCAGCCCATGAAGAGGATCAAGGCCCTCTCCTCCCAAGTAGGCCACGTCTCTCCCTGATCCTCTCCTCCCTGCGTGCCCTAGGATGGAGAGGGGATGGGCCTGGGTCCTCCTCTGACTGCCCAGCTGGCCTCTGCCCTTCCCCAGCCTCCTCCACAACCTCCGGAGCCACACTCCCACTCCCTGTCGGCTGTTCCTCCTCTCCCTCAGAGTCAGTCTCCACCAGGGGCATGGCAGTACCATTCCAGACAAATGGTTATCCAATCTCTTCTTAAAAACCTCCTGGTGGCAAACTTTTTCCCCTGGTTCATTGTCCTCACTTTTGGGGAAATTTCTCCTTAATTCCAGGTTGCTTCTCTCCTTGATTAGTTTCCATCCGTTGCTTCTTGTCCTGCCTTGAAGAGTGCTTTGAAGAATAGGTTGACCCCCTCTTCTTTGGGGCAGCCCCTCAAATACTGGAACACTGCTTTCGTATCACCCCCTAGTCAATTTCGTTAAACTAGACATACCCAATTCCTACAAAATTCGGGCACTTGGCAACTGACTCACATTTATGATGGTTGCAGTTATGACCCCCTTTTGCGACCTCCTGACAAAGCAAAGTCAGTGGGGAAGGCCAGATTCCACCGTCTTACTAACTTCACAACTGCAGTGATTTGCTGAACAAGAAAGGTCGTAGCACGGGACAAAACTCACTGAGCCAGCATCTCACTTAACGTCTCCTGCCTTTCAACACCTCTCTGGTTTTATTCCAGGTTGCTAACGCCACCGGGGCTGAATGTATCCCGTTCAAAGCCCCCTACTATGAACCCAACGTCGCGGACAATCTCTTTGGAGGCACCGGCCCCACCGCGAAAGAGGTGAGGGGAATCTGGGTGAACAAACCATCTGAAACGGGTTTAATGTGGGCATCTGGGTGGGCGTTACGAGAATCTTCACATCAAAACTCTAGATAAACGTAGTCCTCCCAAATTTCATCTTGCGAATCAGAAACCAGACCTCAAAGCGTGGGTAGTCAGGGAGGCGCGTGTAAGAATTCGGAGAGCACTCCTGGCCCTCTTTTTTTTCTTCAGAAACACAAGTTTCTAGTCCTCATGGCAAGGGGAAAGAAGACCTACCTCTGCCAAGTATGTAGAGGCTGAAGAAGGCGGCGTCTTGCGTTCTCCCTCCACAGATGCGATGTGGTTGGTGCCACAGTGTTCTCGGGTTACAACCTTAACCAGCCACGCCTTTTAACTCAGGATTATTCTGCTTTCTGCAGTTCAGGCCCGGCTGCTGGCTAGGTTCACACAACACACTTGGCTGTGGCAAAATGTGATTGGGCACCTTGTAGCCCAGTGTAATGTGCGAAACCTCTGCCATTGGTCTTAAGAGGCTGTGTGAACCAGGCCAAGTAGAGTCGGGTCAGACATAGGGTCTTCTGGGCGTTGTGGGGAAGTTGCTGGCCTAGAAACCAGGTTCCTGTGAGTTCCAGTCCCACCTTAGACCTGAAAACCCATGGATGACTTTGGGCCAATACCCAGGAGACGGTGAGTTGTAATCCAGCCTTAGGCCTGAAAGCCCAACTGGGTGACTTTGGGCCAATCGCTAGGAGAAGTGAGTTCTAGTTCTGTCTTACCCCTCAAAGCCGGCTAGGGGACAGTCGCCCTCCTCTCTCAGCCCAAATCCACCTCACAGGGCTGCTGTGGTGGTGGGAAATAAGAGGAGGAAGGGGTATTTGGTATTTCCGCTGCCTTGGGTTACTTATCAAATAATTAGCTCAATACTCATGCTTTGCTACGGAACTATGTGGTTGGGCTTAGTTTTAGGGGAGGAAAATAAGGGGGACGGGAATTCTGCCTCTGCCTACCAGCATCCATCAGTATTCATCTGGCTAGCGTCCTGTCAGTGTGTGAGAGAGTCCAGGGCGCTTTGGAAACTGAAAGAGTATTTGCTGTGTGAGCAAGAGGGAGACAGCAAGGAGCCTGGGTGTGGCTTAGCTCAACTGTTCTGTACTAAAGCTGCTTGGTGCTATGAAACTGAAACTCTTCTCCTCTGCTTGTGTTCTGCATTTGGAAGAGATTTCTTTTCAGGTGGGGAGGGGGAGTATAACTCCTTCACATCAGAGCGTGTTAATAATAATAATATAGGAAATATTAATGCTCTGATGGTCATTTTGAAAAATCCTTTCTTTAGTGAGCCCCTAGAAGCCAAGAGGAACATACGTGCCAAATTTCAAGTTTGTAGGTTTTACGGTTCTGGAGATTTTGCGGTGTTGCGTGAGGGGTATTTTGCTTTTATATACTGTATAATAAGATGTAAGATAAGATAAAGGTGACATTAAAAAAAACTAAGATATAAATAAATAAATAATCAAATGTCAGCTCAAATATGTGGTGGGAACGCAGCCTCTGGGTGCTTCATCTTCAGAGCGCTACAACAACAACAAAAAAGCAAAGCCACTCTGCGGCCCATCATTAGTAGGGACTGCATTATAGTCCCGGTTAGTGACCGCCTCCTCTCTCTCTCTTTCTTCCCCTTTTCTGCAGGAGGTGCCGCGTTACCACGAGCTACCCACGCTGGAGGAACGAGAGGCGGCAGGCGAGGCCGGCCCCAGTCTGGAAGATGAATATTTAGACCAGATCAACCCCATCTATGACGCCTTCTCCTTTGCGGCCACGGACGACGACGAGGCGTTAACATCCCTGCCCACGGATAAGGCCTTCGTGATGTCCAGAGCCATGTACGTCTAAATCTACCGGATAATCTCAACAGCCACAGTCCAAAAAAAAATATATATATATGGGATGCTGCTAAAAAAAGATATCCTGTGTTGGTCCTGGAGAGAAGCAATCTCCATCTTAGGTACCTGTCTCTGTCTCCTGGGCCTTCCAGCTTTCACACACACGCTTTAGGTGGGCAAGAATCTACCTTGCTCAGAAAGGATTCACTACTTGTATGCCTTCCGCTTCAATCCAGCCAGAACCAGTATTTCTTCCAGCCTTCCAGTAGTTTTGACAAATCTGTCCTCTTGACTTCGTAGACTTTCCATTCCAGATCTTTCCTCCGAGGGTTCCTGGATCGAGATCTAGTAGAACTTCTAACTGACCTGTGCTGCTTCTGAACCCCACAAAGGATGTTGCCATCCCGGGGGGTGGGGAATGTAGTTGAATGCTTGTGAATCTGTTTACAGTAACGTCGAAGCTCTCTTGATACCCGGACGTACTGTGGGGCTTCTCACTCTGTAAGTGCCTTGCACCTTCACCTCAATGGGGGGTGGGGGGGGGGGGTCTCCCATCTTCCCCAGATTTTATCCACTACCACGAGGCTCCAGGCAATCTTGTTAAAAGATTCACAGGAGTCAGCCTCAACTAATTCTGGACTCTGAATGCTCTGGATTGCAGGGTTGAGCAAAGCATGTTTAAAAACTGCAGTGACGGGCATCATGGGGTTTATTTTTTTGCCCCCAATCTGTATAAAAGATGACTCAATTAAGCCTAATTCTTGAACCCTTCAAAAAAACCTTCTTTTTAAAAAAGTCATAGGCAGAAAGCCTATACCTGAGACCAGGTATAAAGATTGGGCCTTTCCATGCATGGAGAATTCCCCAAAAAAGGGAAACAGATGCACTGAGGGAATTCTGAAATGAATCGTGCAGAAATAGTTTTATAAAACTGCTTATTAATCCTGCCCCTAATTCCACTGCATTGTATGGAGATATTCTGTTTGGAGTAGGCTAAAAGCACAATTAAACTCTGCTAGGGAAAGGCTTATTCTAAAGATGCAGCTTTGAAAAAAAAATTCCTTGGAGGCACCAGCATATACACTCCCCAAAATCGTTGGGAATTGACCAGATAGTAAGGTTTCCTGTGTATTGCACAAAAGTGGCCCCCAAAATTGGTACGCAGGCACTAAGTCTGATCTGGATTCTCCCTCACTGTGGTTCCCAATCCAGAGGGAGTAACCTTTCAACTTTCTAAATGGAGAGTTTGCTCCATTTAGGAAAATCGGTGTGCCAAACTGTTCCTTTTTTTTTTTTTAGCATTCTGACACAGGCTCCGGTCGTTACTTGAATTGTGATTTTTTTACATCCCCAGATCTTCAGTTCTGCTCCATTAATACTCTAATCCTTTTGGGCTCCTGACCTGAAAATGTGAACGTTTTTTTTTTTTTGGTTTGTTTTTCGATCGCTGTTCTTGAGTTGGATGTTTTTAAAACTACATTTGTAAATGAGTTGATTTAGCATTCCGAGGCAAAGCCTTCTTACACTCTTGCCACTACTGCTGGTTTTTTTTTCTTCTAAATGCGGGTACCAATTGGCACTGTGGGATTTTTTAATTATGTTTATGATTTTGTTGTCAAAGCTGTTGCTCACCTCTCTAGCTAACAAGACCTGAATCTCAGGGTTAACGGGAGGGAACAATTGTCATACGCACTACTATGCCTTATTTCTCCCACCCCTTCTAACCTATATGTGCCTCAATCTGACACTATCGAGGGGTTGAACTTCAGCAGGAACACAGAGGGAAAATTTTATACTCCGGATGAATGTTTGTTTAAAAAAATAAAATAAATACAATTTTCCAAATCTATGTGGCTGCCACAAAGTGTTCTGTTGATGCGTAGAGGAAACACAATGTCCCGTTTTTAGCTTTGTAAGTCTTTCTGAACTTGCCTTCCAAATGTGGGACCCCAATTCCCACCCTGCTCAGGCAGCAGGTTCATTGTATTTGTAGCCTGATACTTCAGGAGGATTTTGGAAGAATGATAGCTAGCAGCCTTGAAGGGGGAAAAACTTGTACATGGTTCATTTTGCCTTAATTTCAGGGAAAGGACAACAGAATAAATGCAGATGTGTTCTGAGCCTGGGGACATTTTTTATACTGCAAACACACAAATGCAAAAAACAACATCAGAAGTAGGTGCATATTTTGGAACAGCAAGTCTGTGCAGAATAACAGAATTGGAAGGGACCTTAGAGGTCTACTAGTCCAACCCACTGCTCAAGCAGGAAACCCTATACCCTTCAGGACAAACGATTGTCCAAATCTCTTCTTAAAAACTCCCAGTGTTGGAAAATTAACAACTTCTGGAGGCAAGCAGTTCCACTGGTTAATTGTTCTCACTGTCAGGAAATTTCTCCTTAGTTCTAAGTTGCTTCTCTCCTTGATTACTATCCATTCTTTGCTTCTTGTCCTGCCTTCGGGTGCTTTGGAGAATAAGTTGACCCCCTTTTTTTGTGGCAACCTCTCAAATACTCTATTACTGCTATCATGTTGCCCCTAGTTCTTTTCACTAGACTAGACAAACCCAGTTTGCAAGAAAACTTGGCTGGTCGGTCTTCCAATGCTTTGCAAGGAGAGGCAGAGGCTCCAAATATTTGCATGTTTTTCCATGCCCATTTCGTTTCTCGTGGCCCAAGGGACCAGAATATCACAATTTGGCTTTTTAGGGGTGCAACCTTCCCCATTCAGATGCTTTCCCAGCATGTTGGACAGTTAGTCCTAAAGAACAAGCTGGCTGAGAGTGATGGGAGTTGTTGTCCTCCTAGAGAAGTCCAGGATGAGGATAGCTTGCTTCTACTAAGGACCAGGCAAAGAGTGACGACTTTGCCCTGAGGACAGGATGCACTAGATAGATATTCCACCCCCCACCCCCCCAAAGGGGGTCTTAGAAACCATCATTTTCTGGGGTGCAGTGAAAATAGGGTGGAAGTCCCATACTGCACGTGCGGTTGCAAAACTGAGAGCTGTTGCAACCAAATTGATGGGAGAGAAATTATTCCCTAAAGGAAAACATATTTAGCCTGGATGCTCCTCCTGAGGAGGAGTCTAGAAATCGTCTAAAAGGGTTTCCATGGAAACCGTTGGGCGGCCGAAAGGATTTCTCAAGCCACGTCTCTATGGTTTCCGCGGGCGCTTCTGGCCCAAAAACTCATTGGTGGCCGCGCTGCACTTCGGGATAGCCACCTGACCTTGCGCCCGCTCTTCACGGCTGACCTTGTTCCTACAAGCCCGCCCCTTTCCAAGGCAAAGACCCGAGGGACGCTCCAAGTTCCCCCTCCGCACGTAAAAAGCGACCAATGAAAATGCAACCCCGGCGCGACCAATCGTCCGGGAGGAGCCCGATTTATTCCAACAATCAGCCCAATCGGCGGCGCGTGACGTCCCGGCAGCCAGCCAATAGAAATCCCTCTTTGAGGAAGGAAGCGGCGGGACCTCGGAGGAGGCCTTCAAACTCCATGAGGGCTGCATGGTCCCGGGGAAGAGGGGCGCGGCTGGACGGAAAGCTGGCCAATCGCGGATAGGCCAGGCCGGACAAGGGCGGGGCCGAGAGCCTCACGGGCCAATGGCAAGCGGCGGAGGGGCGGGCCCGAGAGCAAGCGGGTTCAGGTGTCTCCCCGGCTCCAGCCCTCGTTGCCGCTGCTCCCGCTGCTGCCGCCGCGTGAGTGGGGAAGCCCGAGGAGGAGGAGGGTCCGCGCGGGCTGGAGGAAGGCCCGGCCTGGACGGGGAAGGGAGGGAGGAGCAGAGGAGGCCGGGCAGGGGCCGAGGGAGCCCGCGGGGACCAGGCGGAGCGGCGGGGAGAGGAAGCCAAAATGGGCCCCGGGGCGGGAAGGGAGCACGGAGCCCCTCCGGACAGCCGGGAAGGCCGAGCCGGGCGAGTCCCACCCCCCGCCCTGCAGCCGGGGAGGGTCAGCACCTGGCGGCCTTGGCTCGGAATCCGGAGATCGGTTCCTTTTTTGGGGGTGGGGGGACCAGCCTGGCCATGCCTGCCTTCGCTTGGTCCGTGGAGCCCTTGGCTCGCCCGGGCGGAGGCTCCCCTTGGCGGCCCGGTGCGCAAGCCCTGGCGGGAGCGGGGGGTGAACGCTTTTTGCTTTTGGAATGAATCGGATAGGAAGCTTCGTTTGGACCCCGAGGGTGGGATTGATAGCCACCGGGTTGCGGGTGCAGCAGCGGTCATGCAGAGCCCCGGAGGAA